CTTCCTCCCCAGTGTAAAAGCCTTTTCTTGTCTGTTTTATGTGAGATAATTTACCCCCTTCTACCTCTGCCTTTCTCCTTCACCCAGTATAATCCTCTCTCACCCCTTAATTTTATTCTCCAGATGTCACCCATTCATCTTTAACTCACCCTGTGCTCTCTCTCTCTCTGTATATATGTATATGTATACATGCATACATACAAACATACATGTACATATAATTTTTCCTTCCAACTACCCTAATACTGACAAAGGTCTCATGAGTTACAAATATCATCTTTCCATGCAGGATTGTAAACAGTTCAACCTTAATAAGGCCTTTATGTTTTCTCTTTCCTGTTTACCTCTTCCTGTTTCTCTTGAATCAGGTATTTGAAAGTCAAATTTTCTATTCAACTCTGGTCTTTTCATCAAGAATACTTGAAAGTCCTCTATTTCACTGAATGTCCATTTTTTCCCTGAAGGAATATTTTCAGTTTTGGTGGGTAGGTAATTCTTGGCTGTAATACTATCTCCTTTGACCTCTGGAATGTTATATTCCAAGCCCTACAGTTCTTTAATGTAGAAGCTGCTAAATCTTGTGCTATCCTGATCGTGTTTCCACAAAACTTGAATTGTTTGTTTTTGGCTGCTTATGATATTTTCTCCTTGACCTGGGAACTCTGGAATTTGGCTATAATATTCCTAGGAGTTTCTCCTTTTGGGATCTATTTCAGGAGGTGATTCTGTCCATTTCTATTTTACTCTCTTGTTCTAAAATATCAGGGCAGTTTTCCTTGATAATTTCTTGAAAGATGATATTTATACTCTTTTTTTTGATCATGCCTTCCAAGTAGTTCAATAATTTTTAAATTGTCTCTTCTAGATCCATTTTCTAGGTCAGTTGTTTTTCCAATGAGATATTTCACATTGCCTTCTATTTTTTCATTCTTTTGGTTTTGTTTTACAATGTCTTGTTTTCTCATAAAGTCACTAGCTTCCATTTGCTTCATTCTAATTTTTAAGGAAGTATTTTTTTTTCAAGAAAAACAATCTTTATTCACCATTCTAATGAAGGTGGTGAGGTGAGAGTTAAGTACATATAAAATATATACAGCATCAATATAAAGCAATATGCTGGCTCAAATATACACCAAGCAAATATAAGGTAGTCTCAAAAGGAGACCTCTTGTCAGTTGGAGGCACCAGATAAGGCTTTGTACCAAAGATGGCACCCAAACAGTATCTTTTTTTTAAACACACACATAATATGTATTTGATAATATAATATTAATATAACATAATCCATATTATATGACAACTGTTCAGGAAATTGTTAATACTTATTGCAATGTAGACTGCCACAATGTCTTAATAATCCCTTGTTAAAATTCCAGTAACATCCTTGCATTCCTACTCTTTTTTTAACTTTTAACATGTGTTTTTAAAACTTTGGATTACAAATTTTGTCCTTCCCTCCCCATCCAACCTCATTGAAAAGGCAAGCATTTCAATACAAGTTATAGATATGTAGTCATGCAAAACACTTCCATAGTAGTCCTGCTGTGAAAAATTAAGTGTATTTCCCTTCATCCTATCCTACCCCCCATTTGTTCTATTCTCCCTTTTGACCCTGTACCTCCTCAGAAGTGTTTGCTTCTGATTCTGCCCTCCCCTCTAATAACCTCCTGCTGTCTTGTCCACTTCCCCTCTTATTTTCCTGTAGAGTAAGATAGATTTCCATACCACATTGTTTATGTTATTCCCTCATTAAGCCAAATCCTATGAGAATAAGATTCACTCATTCCCTCTCATCTTGCTCTATTACCCCTCCTCTGTAAAAGCCTTTTCTTGTCTGTTTAATGTGAGATAATTTACTCCATTCTACTTATCCCTTTCTCCTTCTCCCAGTATAATCCTCTCTCACCCCTTAATTTTATTTTCCAGATATCACCCCTTCATCTCCCCTAAAGTCAGGAGGACCTGAGTTCAAAACCGGCCTCAGACCAAGCACTTGACACTTACTGGCTGTGTGACCTTGGGCAAGTCACTTAACCCCAATTGCCTAAAAAAAACAAAAACAAAAAAATCCTTTTTGGGCTCTTCCATGGCCTGGGACCAATTCATATTTTTCTTGGAGGCTTTGGATGTAGGAGCTTTGACTTCATTGTCTTCTGGTTGTGTGTATTGATCTTCTTTGTCATCAAAGTAAGATAATATAGTCTGACTCTTTTTGCGCTGGTTGCTCATGTTCCCAGACAATTACTTGAATTATAAACTCTTTGTTAAGGTAGGAGTCTGCTTCCAGTGTGGAGAATGTACTGTCCCAAGCTTCAGGGATTTTGTGCAGCTGTTTTCAGAGATACTTCTAGGGACCTATAGATTTTCAGTTCTTCCAAGGTGCTATGATCAAGGGCCTGTGCTCTGGTCTACAAGTGACCACAAGCACTCTTTTCTGTCTTGGAACTATGAGGAGGGTTTTCTCTACACAACCACTACAAGGTCCACCACACCAGTGCTCCTCCTCACCCCAGGACCACCACCCAGAACTGTGACCCCGATCCAAGTATGGGCAAAGCAAGAGAATCCTGCACCAGCACAGATATTCCTGCAGCCCCCCTCTGATCAGTCACTCCATTCCCCCTCAGTCTGTGAGCTGGAAGCTCAGGAGGTAGCCTCTGCTCCAGGGTCAAGCTTGGGGAATGGGGCTGGAACCCCAACGTGCTTCTCTGTCAACCACAGTAGAACTTTTTCCCACTGACCTTCTAAGTTGTATTTGGCGTTCATGGGTTGAGAAGTGTGAAATCCCTACAGCTTTCTACAGTTCAGTCCTCTGAGGCCTGCTCCAGGTTTGCTGTGGCCAGCGCACCAAACTGCATTCCTTTCCCAGCCTGGCGCAATATACTTTTCTGATCAACCATCCAGGTTATCTTGGGCTGAAAATTTGTTTCACTCTGTCTTTTTGTGAGTTCTGTTTCTTTAGAATTTGTTTAGAGCCATTTTTTTTTAGGTATTTGGAGGGATTTGGGAGACAGCTCAAGCAAGTCACTGCTTTTACTCCACCATCTTGGCTCCACTCCAAGGAAGTATTTTCTTTGGTAAGTTTTTGGATTTCCTTTTCCATTTGGCTTATTCTGCTTTTCAGGGCATTCTTCTCCTCATTGAATTTTTGGACCTCTTTTGCTATTTGGATTAGGCTATTTTTTAAGGTGTTGTTTTCTTCAGTATTTTTTGGGTTTCCTTTAACATGTTATTGACTTATTTTTCATGATTTTCTTGCATCGCTCTCATTTCTCTTCCCAGCTTTTCCTCTACTTCTCTTACTTATTTCTCCAAATTATTTTTGAGTTCTTTCATGGCCTGGGACTGATTCATATTTTTCTTAGAGGCTTTGGATGTAAGAGCTTTGACTTTGTTGTCTTCTTCTGGTTGTATATTTTGATCTTCTTTGTCACCAAAGTAAGATTCTGTGGTCTGACTCTTTTTGTGCTGCTTGCTCATGATCCCAGCCAACTACTTGACTTATAAACTCTTTGTTAAGGTAAGGATCTGCTTCCAGTGTGCAGAATGTACTGTATCAAGCTTCAGGAGTTTTGTGCATCTGTTTTCAGTGATACTTCTAGGGACATGCAGATGGTTTATTCTTCCAAGTTGGTATGATCAAAGGTGAGGTGTTTAGTCCTTTCCTGAACTATGCTCTGGTCTATGAGTGACCATAAGCACTCTTTTCTGTCTTGAAACTATGAGGAGGATTCTCTCTCTACAGACACTACCAGCTCCACCATGCCAGCTTTCCTCCTTGCTCCAGGACCACCACCTAGAACTGTGACCAAGAACCACGCATAGGCAAAGCAAGAGATTCCTGCCTCAGCTCCAGCAAAGAGATCTTTGCAATCCACCTCTGATCAGCCACTTGATTCCCTTTCCATCTGTCAGCTGAGAGCTCTGAAAGCAACTGCTACCTCAGGTTTTTGTCCTTCCTTTTCTAAGCTATTGACTCTGTCTTGTATACCTCTCATTTCTTTTCCAAGTTTTCTTCTACCTCTCTTATTTGACTTTTAAAATCCTTCTTGAGCTCTTGCAAGAAGACTTTTTGGGCTTGAGAGGAGTTCATATTCCCCCTTCAGGTTTTGGATGCATGTGTATATTGGTAATGTTGGCCTCTTCTGAGTTTGTGTTTCGATCTTCCCTGTCCCAATAGTAAGAATCTGTGTCATTTTCTGTTTCTGCTTTTTTTGCTCATGATGTTTGCCTATTTCCTGGCTTTTGAAGTTGAGCTGTCCTGCTAGAGCACAGAGGGTACTGACACAAGCTTTTTGTGTTGGGGAGCAGGGACCTGATCACTGGCTTTATGTGCTGGGGCCTCAGGTGCTGTCAGCTAGAGGCTGTAGGGGTTTGGCAGCTTACCTGGTGCTGAGCTGGGGTTAGCAACACTCAAACTCTCAAGGTGGAGAGGGTCTGGTCCCTGGAAGATGGCTGCTCTAAAGCACCAGAAGATTTGGCTGCTGAAGATGCCTGCCTGCCTGTAGTTGTGCTTCCTGGAGTTGTGCTGAAGCACCAAGAGGTTTGACCACTGAAGTCTATATATTCCCCTGCCTGTGCCAAGGAACTCAGAGGGTCCTGGCGTTGGCAATTGCCTGCTCTACCACCCTAAGGCTCAGAATCTTCTACTGGTTTACTGATGTAGAGCTGGCTTGCTGGGATGCCTCCCATCCTGTACTACTCCCTTTCCACCAGAGCAAGAAGAACCTTTCCCATTAATATTCCAGGCTTCCTGGGTTAAAAGACTGCTGCATCTGATCTTTTTTTTTTTCTGTTTCAGCTGTTCCAGGGTTTTTCCTGGGGTGATATTTTCTGGTGTTTTTTTTGAGGTCAATAAGGGAGAGTGAGAGTAACTTACTTCTTACTCCACCATCTTGGCTCCTGGAAGTCCAAAAGCTAGATGTTGGCACAGATTTCTCACCCGCCTCCAGTGATTCCTCCTATGTATTCTAAGATATCTCATTACCTTTTGTTTACAGGTTCTCATGAATAGATCCATAGATATGTTGAGTATCTCAGCTCTCCTGTGTCACATTCAAGCCTACAAACCATTTGAGTACCATCTCCTCCTTATCTTTGTTCTCAGTCTCATAGATCTGAGATCAGGTAAGCCTACCTTTGTTTGTGACACCCTCAACCTTCTCTTTATCTCCAGTCTATTCTACTCAATTCAACTCAGCAAACATTAGACCTTTACTGAGTTAAAGTTACAGCAGTTCAACTGTTTAGAAGCCACCCTTGTTAATTGGAGTCCACCAAAAGCCAAACAGGGTCTATGAATTTCACCTGTTCTTGGCCAGTCACATTTCAGTGTGCTTTTTAATGTATAGCTTTATAGTTTCTATCATCACCCTTGGAGAAACAAGGCAAAGTAAGCAGCCTTGTTCCTGCTATATAATTTTAGAAGCAACAATAGGTACCTTCAACACCAAATACATCTTCAAGATCAGCCTTACATAGTATCTACCCATTTTACCACATTTTGCCTGAAGATCCATCCCTTCTTCCTTTCCTTCTTCACTTCTTCCTACCTTTCCTCTCTTCTCTTTTCTTTCTCCCAACCCCTCTCTTAATTCCCCTTTCCCTCCACCTTTACTTTCCTCTTTTCCATTCATCCTGTCCTCCTTTCTTTTTTTCTCTTCTTTTTACCACTTCCTCACTTATCTTAGTTTTCAACTCTCCACTAATAATTTTTATTCCATTCTTCCTAGTCCAAAAATTGGTAGGAAACAAGAAAAACTGTGCGGGTAGTTCTTCCTTCTCTTCACCATCTCTATTATCATCCCAACTTATGTGATTAAAATGTTATTTTATCTTGAATAAAACTAGAAAGCCCAATTTCTGTCCTTAGCATTCATGATGAGTGTCAGATATATTGCTGACACTATCTTATAGGGCCATGCTATTATCCTTTTATTTAAGGTTTATGATCTATTTCCTAACCCCATTATTCACTCCCTCTGTCTAATCAAGTGCTTTATTATATATATGTTTATGTACCAATCCATATCTTCTGACTAAGTGTGAAAAACAGCCACTACTGAACATTCACTTTGTACTTAGAAAAAGTATGTTTAGATAAAGCTCATCACCAGTAATTTGTTCACTGAGACTTTTTGTTTTATAAAGCTTATCACTAAAAATATGTTCATTTGGATTTTTCTTCACCGTTATACTTCATGAAAATCAATTTTTAAGACACAGAGAAGCTGAGATCTGCATTCATGAAGGAAATGTCAACATGAATGAAATCACAGATCTGTGAAGTTATTATGAAGTTGTTTTGTATTTTATTTTTATTTCCAACTATAAGTTCTCTCCCTCCCTCTGATGGTGTAGGGATCTGGACTCCAGAAAGGAAAAATCTTGGACTTTGTCTTCTTTTTCTTTCCTCTGCTGCTACTAAATCTCTGTTGTTAAAAACTCCAAATGCCATCTCCACTAACTGGGCCTGAGGTGTTTGGGGTGCCATTGCCAATTTCTGCAGTTTTCTCTTATTATTTGGGGCAGACTGATTAATGAAATATATGCTAAGGATTGCCGCCTTTTTTGTAGAGTCAGGATCTAAATTTGTATACTTTTTAATAGATTTGACTAGCCTGTCTCAGAAAAGGACAGGATTTTCCTTTTCTTCCTGAGTAATTTCCTTATTTTTTTGAAAATTCACCTGCTTTTGAAATGTGTGCTAGGCTTTCTAACAGGCAAATTACCATATAGTCTCTTTTATCCTTATCCTCACTCTTTTGATAAAACTGTTCTGGATCAGTAGTGGGAACAGCAGCTGTTTCTGGGGGGTGTTTTGTGGAGTCATTGTTAGCCAAACAATCCCCAAATTTTTGTCCTTGTTCCCAGATTCTCCTCTTCTCCTCAGTAGTACAACAGGTGGAGAAAATGATATGCAAATCACCCCAAGAAAGCTTGAATTGTAGGGATGTGTCCCTGAACCTCTCAGTAAACTTGGTGGGATCTTCTGAGTATCATCCCAGTTTGTCTTTAACCTGAATGAGTTCTGAAATGGAGAACATAACATGAACCCTAATTGTCCCATTAGGTGAAGCGAGGACTTCCCTTAAGGGAAAAGGCCCTGAAGGCACTGTGGCAACAGGGGCTTGATGGGGAGGAAGATAAGAAGCCCCACTTCTTGTGATTGAGGGACTGGGGAATGCTGGCTGAAATGGACTGGATTGTAAAGCCAGGGGATCCAGCTGGCAAGGGGAAAAAGCAGCTGGCACTGGAGGAGGAGAAGGGGTGAGAGGAAATGCAGGGTAAAACAAGGCAAGAAATGAAGGGGGGTGGGCTAGAGGAAAAGGGGAGGAAAACCAAGGGAAAGAAGGAGTAGGCAAGGAGGTGGGAGCAAGGGGAGAATGGGGTGGAGATAGGAGCTGGGGAGGTGGTGCTAACAGAGGCTAGGAAGAGGAGGGTGCTATAACCCTGGGGGCCATAAGAAGAGGATCACCCAAAAAGTCTAGTTGATCCCCATTCCCCATTTGTGGGACAGCTCTAGCTACAAGCATCCTACAACCTTTTCTGAGAAAGTTCAACAAAAGTCATTATGTAGGGAATTTCCACCCATTTCATTCTCTGCTACAATATCATTCTAACTCTGAGAGAGTATGTTGCTGTAATGTCTCCAAAACAGTCCATGCCTCATAATTTTCCAGGTGATACTGAGGCCAAATCATGTTGCAAAATAACACCAATTTTTTTTTCTTTTAAGTTCTTTAGAGAAACCAATTTTTCCAATTTTTTAAAAGATGTCTCAAAGGCAAATCTTCAGGAATTGAAGAGAATTGACCCTTTGTGGGTATGGGGGTTGGAAGTCCCTCCCTCCTTAAATGAGGATTTGGGAATAAGCCTCAGGAAACAAACAAACAAAAAAAGCCCAAAAAGAACCTGAAGTTTTTCCAATTCTCTAGAGCTGAGAGAATGGACAGAATTGGACCTACACTTACAGATAAGGAATCTGAAGGTGTACCCAGGACCATGGCCTTGAACAAAACCAATGGACTGAGAGCCTGAGAGCATCAGGCTGAGTTTGAGACAGCCTCATAGCTGTCTGACCTAATGGGACCTGAGCAGTCAGGACCTAAAAGCACTTCTAAGCCAAGCCTTCCTGGGTGCTTGGAAATCTGCCAACTACAGGGGAAGAAAAGGAATAGGGGAAGTGGGGGGAGACTTATGTGCCTTCCATTCTTGGCTGGAGAAGAGCTTGGGATTAAGCAGTTTTTCCCGTTCAGGGTAACGTATGTTGAGGTTTAGAAGTCTAGGTGTGCTGGGACCCCAAAATCACAACACCCAGGTCCTAACCAAAAGAATTCTACCCAAGCCTTCTTTCAAACCACAAGGTTTATTAAAGATCTGCCATATTAGCCAGGCTCTTAAGGAATCTCAACATTTGTGAGCTATTGGTTAGATTGTAAAAATCTGAGCTTTTGGCTAGACTCTTCAGAATCTGAGCACCTTAATGGAGACAAGATGGACCTTATATACAAAAATACTGTGGGAGAGATCTCAGGATGCAAGGGAGAATGGAATCTAGAAAGGATTAAGGGTGGGAAGTAGCCTGGGGCCTTCAAGAGGTAAAATAATGGAGGGCTAGGCTAGGTTAAGGGTAACAGAGAAATGGGAGATTAGGCATAAGGGATAATGAAAGGCCAGTTGATGGGATTATAGCCTCTGGCAAAATCCAGAGATTTGGCCATATGGGGAAGTCCAAGGTTTTTCCTTTCTGGGGTTCAGATCCCAACCCCATCACCTCCATGCTCTCCCCCATTCACTGAGGTGATAAGAAATAAGATACCATTATGGATATGGTCATGAAAAATATCTTTCCATGTTAGCTACATTTTGAAAAAAAAGAAAGAAAAATAGAGACTAAAATATGCTTCAATCTGTACTCTGAATCCATCTGTTCCCTCTCTTAAGATGGATAAACATTTTCATCAAGAGCTCTTTGGGGGAGGCAGCTAGGTGGTGCAGTGGATACAGCACCGGCCCTAGATTCAGGAGGGCCTGAGTTCAAATCTGGTCTCAGGCACATAACACTTACTAGCTCTGTGACCCTGGGCAAGTCACTTAACCCCCCTTGCCTAGCCAAAAAAAACAAAAAAGAGTTCTTTGGAATTCAGGAGAATGATTGTATTGACCCATTACTAAGTGTTTTACAATTTATATTATTGTTCTGTGAGATATGAATATTTCTCTCTTATATTTAATAACTAATTATTGCATTAGGACCAAGGTTTTCCCCCTTTTCTACTTCCTCATCCAGAAACCAACTAATTCAGGAAATTTCTCTTAGAGATTTATCCAGGCCAAGATCTAATCAGACAGTAAAAGAAATTCTAAATTTTGGCTAATTACTGTATTCCTGTTCATTGTGTTTGCTCAGATAGGTCTCAGGAAATGTTGATCTTCTCTATTATCAAGAAAGGTGATATGGAAATTGATGTCTCTTTGACCAAGATTTGAGTGACCTAAGTAGCATATCACAAGACCTTCATTTTAATAATGCCCAAACTTGCCTTTCTGTTAACCAATCCAAGTTGATTGCCACTGCTTAGGAACACTTCTTTGAAGGGCATATAAACTGTGACCCCATCACTATTAAGGATCTTTGGTTTAAAAGATAGCCAAATGATCATCCTTTTATTAATAATCTGTTGGCCTCATTAATAAAATCATTAAATTACCCAGAAACTAAGTCTCTTGAAACCTTTTTAAATGTCACAGCTGTGTAGTATTCTCTTGGTTCTATTTCAGTTTGTATCAGTACATATAAGTCTTCCCAGGTTTTTCCAAAAACAACTCCTTCATCATTTCTTACATCATAATAGCATTGCATCACATTCGTATGCCATGATTAGTTCAGCCATTCCCCAAATGATAGGTATCCCCTCACTTTCCAATTCTTTACCACCACAAAAAAAAGCTGCTATAAATAGTTTGTACATATGGGTCCTTTTCCATTTCCTTTGATATTTAATGTATAGACCTACTATAGATATTGGGGGGGGTCAAAGATTATGCACATTTTGTAGCATTTGGGCACAGTTCCAAATTGTTCTCCAGGATGATTGGACCAGTTCAGAGCTCCACTAATACTA